TGCTCGGGGACGCGTGTGCGCGATTTATCAGGTCGGCCCCACGCGTGTCTCCAGGGCCATGACCATGCGGGTGTGCATCGCATTAAACTGGCTGAACCTTACCCGCGTCGGTTGTTCAACGGGATCTTCAAGGCCTATGCGCCTGCTATCATTTCGAATCTCGTGTGTGGCGAAGGTTTAGCTGGTTTCTCTTGGGGTTTGGGCTTTTTTTGCGGCGTACCAGATTTATCTTTGGACTGAAAGGAGTCTGCGGGAGTCTGGTGGAACGGGTTACCCCTAGAGTGTCAAAGTGCGCGAGCAGTATCTCATGGCATCGTGTCTCTTGGTGAAAGCAGCACACGCAGATGTTTGCCCGCTGGCGAGAACAAAATTTTGCCCGCCAAGTACATGCAGAGGATACGTATGATTCTGTTCACATGCGAGTTGTTTGCCTCCGAATCGTCGAGGGCCGTCCTTAAACATTGTTGCTCAGACTCCCGCTGTCTCTGTCGCGAAGCGTCCTGCCACCCCAGACCACCCTCTTTTGCCGCCGCCTTTTAAGGACAAGAGTCCCCCTCTCTTTGGGAATATGCGCGCGTGTTTTTTCTTTTGAAAAAGGGGGGTCTAGTGGAACCGGTTACCCCTAGAGTGTTAAAGCGCGTGCACAGTATCTCGTGGCATCGCGTGTGTTTTGGCGAGATTTGCACACACACACAGATCGTTGCCAGGTGGCGAGGACAACATGTGGCCCGTCATGTACGTGCTGATGTGTACATATGTATACATATATATATAACTATGTATGTGTATGTGTGTGTTGATGCGTGTGTGCGTGTGTGTATATGTGTTTGTGTGTGTATGTGTGTGTGTGTGTGTCGCCGCGACGTTTGTTCTGGTGCACGGCCTTCTGTCTTGGGGATGGCGCCGCGGCCACCACGACAGACGCCGCATTGGGCTCTGGGCCTGCCGTGGGATTTGCCGCCATGCTGGCTGTGCCTGCTCTGGCGCGGGGCGCTTAGTTTGCCGTGTTTGGCGCGAGGCGCAGTGTTTGCCGTGGGATTTACCGTGGGATTTGCCGTGGTGCCGGCGTCGTCCACTTGGGCGCGCTTAAAACAGTCGGCGCGGCGACACACACACACACACACACACTTGCGTCGGAGGCTGGGCAGAGGTCGACTGTTCCGGCGGAGAGAAAACAGGGGACACGCTGTATGCAAAGAAGCAGCGACACGCAGACACACACACACAGATGTGTATATACATGTATTTGTGTATATATATATACATATATGTATATATATATATATATACAGAGAGAGATGTACAATGCTTATTCATATGCACACATGTATATGCATGCACATATTCCTTATGTTTACGAGCCGGTGGGGTGGGACAACCCGCCCCCCCCCTTCGAAAGCGAGCCCACGGGATTCAGAGCTCTGAGGCTTCCCGGACGGCCTTGGAACAGTCTCCAGCCCTTCTAGGCCCCCGAGGGCGCCTTGCCGGGCCTTGCCAGCCGGCCCAAGGCGAGAAAAGGAGTGATCAGAGAGGCCAGACAGAGACACAAGTCAGCACAAGAGCGCTCCAAGCGGGACCGAGATGGCCTCAAGACGGCCGATGCGGCCCCCAACACGCCCCAAGAGGTCCTCAAGAGGACTCCCAAGGGGCACATACCGCTCCATTCTTGCAAAGGAAGACGTACATGTTTAGCATATTCGCGCGTCGGGTCTTAGCAGCGTCCAAGACGGCCGAAGAGAATCCCGACATCGCCCGAAGACGGCTGAAGAGGCCCCCAAGAAGGCTTCAAGACGGCCCACAATGGGCCCAAGAAGCCCCCAGAAGGCTCCCAAGAGAGGCCCACGAGGATCATGGGAGGCCCCGCCGAGGGCCATGCGAGGCCCCCAAGAGGGTCCAAGATGGGCCCCAAGGCGGCCTAGAGGGCCCAAGCCCCCCCAAGACGGCCGAAGAGGGACCCAGGACGGCCGCAGAGGACCCCAATACGGCCCAAAAGGGCTCCCAAAAGGCCAAGAAAAGTGACCTGAATTCCAGGCTCGCAGAAAATCCCCCGGAAATCCATGGCGAACCCGGGCTTCGGAGCATGAGTTTCGTATTCCGTATTTTCGCGCGTCTATCCTCTTGAGGCAAGCGACACCGAGATTGTTCGTCATTTTCTGCGCGAAGGTCGTTTGTGGGTTACACGGACACTGCAAGACGTCGTGCGCCAAAAAGCCGGTCTCTGGGAGGAGGCCGAGAGGTCCAGGGACCCTCGAAACGCCAGCAGATGTTGGACGTCCATGGGATCCGCCACCCATGGGCAATCGAAGGTCGTTGTTCGACGTTGGATGACAGAGGTTCAAAGCTCAAGGATCGAGACAGAAAGGCAAGGGATCCAGGTGAGAGGTTCGACGATCGGGGATTTCCGACAGTTTGTCGTTCTTTCGAGGCCTCCTGCGTTCTCGCCACCACATGGCATGGTCCGCTTCGAAGTTCGGGTCCAAGCTCAACCCCTCTCCGTGATGGGCATGGCCAGCATCGGTGCAGGTGTATAATCGGCGTCCCATAACGCCCTCGTCTTCGTCGTCGTCTTCCTATTCTGTCTCCTCCTCCCCGAGGCTTTGGTCGTTTTCAGTGCCACTTTTGCTGCACTTGTTGGGCCTCTCCAGGCGGGGCGTGCGTTGGCCCGGGCTTGGAGACTGACCCAGCCGTTCAGGCAGACAGACGGACAAGAGCCGCGCCCAGACGGCGTATTGGCGAGGCGAGCCGCGACAGGTGACGGCGTATTTGGGCACATGCAAAAGTAGTGTTAAAACATCGGTGCACTGCAGGTGGTTCGGTTGCAGACCTTCGGGAGACTCTGTACCCAATGGGGGCCCAACGCGTCTAAAAACCTCGACCCTCGACGGCAGCGACGACCGACCCCTGCTATGAGCGGCGCAGCAGGACGCGGATGGTGCAGGCTTCGCGCCAGCGGATGGCGCTGGATTCGCGCCAGCGGATGGCGCGGGCTTCGCGCCAGCACAGCAGAGGCCAAGAGGGCTCCGAGCCATCGTCGTCGCCGTCGTCGTCGTCGTCGTCGTCGACGTCGTCAGCGATGTCAGCGTCGTCGACGTCGTCGCCGACATTGCGACATTGGAGGAGGAGGGGATGAGGAGGAGGAGCATGAGGAGGAGGAGGAGGAGCAGGAGGAGAAAGAGGAAGCGGAGGAGGAAGCGTGAGCAGGAGGAGGAGGAGGAGGACAAGGCAGGAGGCGAGAGGAGGAGGAGGGAGAGGGGGAAGGAGAGGGGGAAAGAGAATGAGGAGGGAGGGGAGGGGAGAGGGAGAAGGAGGGGTGAGGAAGGGGTTGGAAGAGGGAGGGGGCGAGGTGGAATACCTGTTCCTGTTGCGCACCTTTTCTTGCTTCGGGGGGTCGAGGGGGAGCTTCCCCTGCTGATCCGAGAAGGAAGGGGGGAAATTGGCGAGGGGGCGGAGCAATCTCCATTAATTGTTGCTTCTGCTGCTCCGTTGGCGCAGCATTTGGCGCAGCATGTCGCGTCTAGTCATCCTTTGACCCCTCCCCCCTTCCATCTTTCTTCCGCGGGCTCCTGGAGGAGGTCCCGCGAGGCCCCCGGAGGCTCCTCAGGATCGCCTGGGAGGCCCCAGGAGGCCCCAGTCGGGGAGAAGAGGGAGGTGGGAGGGGAGGGGGAGGGCGAGGGGGATGATGGTTAAGGGTGAAGTACGTAAGAGAGTGAGTGAGGGAGTGAAGGAGAAGGAGGAGAAGGTGAAGGACTATGAGAAGGCCTCTGGACACTCTTGAGCACTCCAGAATTCCCTGAAGCCCATAAGAACTTGATTACACCTCCTGCGACAGTCTCTCCTTCCTTCTCCTCCTCCACGAAGCAAAGTCCATGGTAGACGGATGTGCTAGCTCTGCCCACCGCGCTTTGTAAAACGGTCGACGGGCGAGGCGCGCGAACGAACCCCATGGAAGCCACTGCCCGGCCCTTGCGCGACCCATCGCCGATCGACACGGTCGTGACACCTGCATCGTCAGCAAGCTCTGAGCAGAGAGATCCGCGCTGATCCGTTCGAATGGCGATTCTTGTTCAAAGACCATGGCACGAGGTCTGAAAGACGACGTGCCGCACTTCCCGCCGGGTACTGGTCGAAGACCACGCCGCTCTTGGCTGACTGGGGCCATGCCGCCACCAGAGAGTAACAGGGTAGGAGTGCACCAGGTTTCTCCACCACCCACGCTGTGTAGGTGTAACTTTGAGCGTTCACATTCAGGTCAGCCACGCGCAGAGGGGGTGGGGGGAGGGGGGAGGGCTTCTTAGAAGCACCCCTGCTTCTTAGAAGGCGCGGGCCTTATCTATAGATGTAAGGCCGGCGCCTTCTAAGAAGCAGCCTCCTTCTAAGAAGCCCTCCCCCCTCCCCCCACCCCTTGTGCGCGCCGCCAAATAGGACCCATGATTAACCCTCGCAGTGGCTGGTAAGTGTGAGGTGGGGATCGTCGTCGGTCTGCGGTGCCCGAAGGCGAAAAAGGGGGAAGCCCGCAGCGGGCACCGAATGTTCGTCAGCAAGGTGGGTCGCGGGTGGGTCGCGGTTGGATCGTGGGTGGGTCGCGGGCGGGCCGCGGGCGTGGACGATGTCAAAACAATCACAACAGGATTCCGCACCGCGTGTTCTAACTTCAACCACGCGCCCAGGGACAGTGTGAGACCGTTCGGTTCCTCTCATGGGGCGGTGTTGTAGGAATGCGCAGGAATCACCGCGGCGAGACAGAAGCCCTGCCATCAGCGGCTTCCAATACATCCGCCAGCAGCACCTCTGAGCCTGTATAGTGAGAAGGATTGGCTTCTCCCCCTCGTCCTCCTCACAGGGCTCCGTTTGCTCCTCCTCCTCCTCCTCCTCCTCCTCCTCCTCCTCCTCCTCCTCCTCCTCACGGTGCTCTGGTTGCTGTTCCCCGTCCCCTTTTCTCTTCGTCCTCCGCCTACGAAGGGCAGTCGTGCCGTTTTTGTTCGACCGCTTTGGAGCCCACCCCACCCATCGCGGCTATAGCTGGGCCCCTTTGGTTTTATTCGAAGCTTCTCGGGGCCACGTTTGAACAATCTCGGGCTCTTCGGGCTCTCGTGCGGCCCTCTCGGCTGGGTTACTGTGCCCACTGCGGGAGCGTACAGGGATCCGTGTACGCCTTCTTGGGTGGTGTTGGGTTCCTTCGGGGAACCTCCCCTGGCTTGGACCCACGTTGGCCCCTCGAGGCCAGGCTCTCCTGGGGCCCTCTGGGGGAGTTCTTCTCCTCTTGGTCGGCATTGGGCCTCTACTTGGCTCTTCCAGTGACGTTTTGGAACGATTCTGAGATTTGGTAGGCTGCGAAGCCCGAGCAGGCGATCAAACCAATCACTTTCGACGTCAATATTTTTTCCAATGATTTCGGCATCCTGGGTGCGTACGTTTTCGGGACCCCCGACGGCCGTATTTGGAGCCGTTCGGGCCGCCTTGGCGCGACCCGTAGCTGTCTTTGTCTGTCTTGTTCGTCTTGGAGATCTCTTAGGGCCGTTTTGGTGCACTCTTCGGGCCATTTTCAGCCTTCGTGGGCCACTGAGAGGCCGTCTAGGGCCGTCTGGGGCACTCTGGAAGGGGGCGGGGGCTAGCCGAGGCCGCCTTGGGAGCTTTGGTGGGGAGCGATGGCTTGACGATCCCCCCCCCCTGCTAGGATCTGATGGTGCTGATATGATTCGAAACCTCTTGGTAGCTTCATCGAATCTCTTGGGAGGCTTCTCGCGACCCTCTTGGAGGTATGTTTGGGGCTTCTTCCGTCGCTCGACCGCGTCCCCAGTCGCCGCTGTGTCCTCTTGAGGGCCTCTTGGAGCTTCTCGGGCGCGTTTAGGGGGCCTCCGGGCGCCTCTTGGGGGCCAGTTGGTTGCCCCAGCTACGTGGGGGCCTCTCTTGGGGCGCTTTTGGGTGCATTTTGGGCCGTCTTTGGGGGCCTCTTGGGCCGGTGGGTATTCCTGAGGATAGTTCCAGTCCTCAGCACCTCAACAACAGGTCCAGAGGATATGCAGTGCTAGGCGCAGCAGGTAGCGAATGACAGGAACTTGGGTTCTATCGTTGCTGACCTGTTTCAAGGCCATTCCAGAAAAGGTCAAGAACACCACGACAGATGTCTGCCAGCGTGGACCCCAAGGGAATCGGACAACGCGGGAATCAACAGAAGCGGAGCCCTCCTTCACAGTAAAAATGCTGTTTGGGTCTCTGTCGTTGCTGGGGTGAGCCGGCGTCTGCCGCCATTTAGTCTCGAGTTTGCTCGTGCATCTGTGCACTCAGGTTGAGACCGCGACGCTCTCGACATGTTTGCGCGGATGGTGACATTAATCAGCTGGTGAAGAATCGGCGCGTTCGATTTCGTCGTCTTTGTGGACACGCCGGCCTGAGCGGCGTCGGGGTCCGCAGTTCCAGCAGCCCTTCTTCGTGAGCATCTGTTTCATGCACATGTCGTGTACATGTTGTCCAACACACATCTCGCAGCCACCATATGGCCCATGGTGGCCGCCGCCTGCTGCACGGACTGCTTCGCGCGCCGCGCAGCATTGCCTGCAGTGGACGAGATCCTTCTTGGAGTGAAATATTACGGATCAGGCTGCTGGAGGCAGTTGAACAAACCAAAAGTTGGGAGTTTGTCCTTGGCATTTGCTTGTCCCCTCATGGTAGATAGATAACTGCATGTCTGCTCAGGGAGCGTTTCGGCGCCGTCAACCTGCCCTTCTTGCTTTAACGCGCCTTTCGGTTGTAGCGGGTGAATTCTCGCTGCTTGGAGCGATGACGGCTGCAAGACCTCCAGCTGGCTTTCTGGAACTCGGCATTCCCAAGTTCTGCGGACATCGATCTTCCAGATCATCAACGGCGACGCTCCGTCTGCTGATTTGGTACTGGGTCTGGCTGGGGGCCCTTCGATCGTCTATATTATATACGCTTTTCCCGACGAGTGGCACATATGTTGGCAAAACGAAAGTTACTCGTGCAGGGCGGTCAGGCGGAGAAACTGCAGGTTTTACCGCTCGTAGGTTGGAGCGCCTGGTTGGCCTTCTTGGCCTTCAGAATCGCGACGGACGTAGACCTCGTTACCAATTGTTGCGGCGTTCCAGTGTTTCGTTTGGTTTTCTGCCCGCGTTGGTGGCGCCGTCGAAGGCGCGAGCTCATGTTTTCGAGACCGTGGCGATCAAGCTGGAGTCTCCCGCGTGCAATCTCTGGGCCATGGACGAAAGTCGCAAAGTCAATGATTTCATTTATCGCGCGGCCGTGCGCCACTGGCCCGCGAGCTGGCGCCGTCTACGCGGCAGCCCGTGGCGCAGCATTCGGGACCGGGATCGGCCCAGGGATATGTCTTGGCGCTCGTGTCGACATCGATTCCATGAGTTGCACGGTTCCAACGCGAACGACGTACCTTTCCACTAGCTGCGTGTCTTGCTTCAGGAAGGGAGGGCGTGGTCTTCAAGTGGCGTGTGCCCCGCTCTGGCTGTGGTCGAACGCTAACGTCATGTTCTTTTTCTCCTTCTTGGCGACGCCGTGCCCGACGCTGTATTTGCCGTCGTGGAGACGAGCAAAGTTGGCCGCATGTCGTTATCGTGCGCACGGCATTGTGCAGGTCACCGTTCCGCTCCTTTCACGGCGGCGTGGCAAAACCATGTTCCTTCTTTTTGAGGCGCTTGAATTGCATCCTGGCGCCTGGTGGGCTAGCTGTACTTTCCGGGATAAGGCTGATACGGCAAGCCCTTCGTTTGACTGTTTCCTACTCGGCCCACTAGGTGTGCGCGCCGTATCGGGCCTGATTGGTGTCGCGGGTTCGCGAAAAAGTTAGGAAGCAGAGAAGGTGGCCGGACGTCGCTAACGCCGACCGCATGAGCCGGGAGGTCGGGTTTGAGGGCCCCGTCTCCTGGGCATTCCTGCGCCGCCTCCAGCAACTGTTCGGGTTTTGCCTGGCCGCTGGGGTTCGCCTCGCTGCCCGACGGTTCCAATAGTCAACCGCGAATTTCGTGCAATGTGGCCCGCGTGGTTTTCGCAACTCGATATTCCGGGATCTGTCTGGACGATTGGGAACCGCTGTGGGGGATGTGTTGCGAAGAATTGGGGATGTCATTCCTGGGCCGCCCCAACAGTGGCAGCCTTATGAGGGCTTCATGATGTTTTGAATTGTCATGGAATCTGGGTGCTATGTTTACCCGGACATGGTAAGCCAATGGTCTCTACCTCGTGAGTTTGGCGGCTAGCGGCACAATGTGGGAATATCAGAACGGGTCATCGCTGGATGATGTGGAACTGCGGCAGTGGACTCAAGCGCGCATGGACATCCCAGCGCGTCTCCGGCCGCTATTGCAATCTCGTTTTGTTAGTGGTGGCCAGGCTTTCAAGCATTGCTTTGCGTTGGTGGGCTGATGATTCGCTTGTTCTGGGAGTCGCGCATGTCCAAATCCTTCGCACTCACGCCGGCGCAGAGTCCATGATTCATCTCCAAGCATGGACCATTCAGGCTGGAGGGCCATGGCTCGTGCAGCCCGAGCCGTCCTCTAAGCCGCGCGCTTCGCCGAGGAGGTCTGGTCTCTGAAGTACACCATGCAGGACGTCGGCGCGATGCTGGATGATTTGGCTGTACCATTATTGGCCTGCCGCCGCGGTTCCCAGGTATCTTTCAGAGGCCTCCCCAGCAGATCTTGACCAGGCGTCCGAAGCGACCGGCGCGAGCAATGCGCGCGGGATTGGGGCGCCGTTGCGCGACGGCGCCGCGGTGCGACGATCCGCGGAGCTGAGGCTCCGAGGAACGGAGAGCGGAGGATCCGGCCGTGCCATAATCCTTCGAGGTCTCCGCGGACAAGCGAGAGCGCGCCCGCGTCGGGCCACCGATCGGGAGACGCAGCTCTTGGCACCTCTCGTATCAAGAAGTCCGCAGGGCTGCCTCGGCTTCGTCATCAGCGTTTCTGTTTCCTGTATTCGGCCGCATCTTTCCGCGCCGTGGCATCTCGATTGGAGGCGTTCTGAGTTATGCTTGCGGCGCGCTCGTTGGGGGCGCAGAAACATCGTCATCTGTTGGTCTTTGTTCTTCCCAGAGAAGCGTCAGTTTCCTCCGCGCGCCGCAGGTGAAGTCCTGTCTTGGCGTCGCTATGTCGACGGGTTAGGAGAGTCCCGCCATTTTTGCCCGACGTGCATCCTGGAGTTTATGCAGCTTGGTTTTGGGGGCCATCCATCGGCCTTCTCGGGCGCTTCGAAGACCTCCAGGGGCATCTGGATGCGTGGCGCGACGCGGCGCTCTGCATCTCAGGCCGGAGTTTACCCTTCCCTTCAAAAGTGTCAACATGCCTTGGCTATATCACGTTGCGTCGGAGCGCGAGAAATTCCCGATTCCTCCGTCCTCCGCCAGGTTTGCTCCTGTCCGGGAGCTTGCATCATCTCTGGCTGTGGCGACTCTTCTGATTCCAAGAATTGGCCCTGGATCGGGGCCTGCCGGGGCGCTTCTCGGACCTCTCGAGGCCCGTTTTTTTTTGCGTGTGCGTCGAGCGCCTCGGCGCAGATCTCGCGCGAGGTGTTCGCCTATTCCGCGCCTTCTGTCGCGCCCCCGCCGCTGGCATGGCCCCCCGCTGCAGCCAAAGGGGCCGCGGTCCTTCGCGGGGCAACGGCGGCGGTCGCGCCGGCGGCAACGACCGCCGCGGGGGGCGCGACCGCCAGCGGGATCGCGGTCGCGACTTTGACAAGGATCGCGGCTGTCATTAGTCAAGGCGCGACCCAGCCTCGGATTCGGACGGCCGGGGGCAGCGGCCGGCGAAGGCGCGCCGCCGCCAGGCCAAGAAGGACCCCGAGTTCCTTCCGCCCTTGGCCCCAGGACGCCGAAGACAAGAAAAGGCAGGGGCGCGTGGAGGAACGCAGCGAGATCTTGCCCCCCGCCATGAGTGAGAAGCCCCCTCGAGGCCGTCGCAAAGCCGGCCTTCCCACCGGCGCCACCAGCGCCGCGGCCCCGCGGAATCGACCCCGAGGTCCTGGCTGCCGCCGCGGTCGAGGCCACGCAGTCCGCGGGCCTGGTGCCCATGCCGAAGCGCGGCCCCGCCGGCGCCCCGAGGGCCTCGGCGCCGCCGCCCCCGCCGGCCGCGCCGCGGAATCCATTGCCAGCCTCGAACGTATCCCTATCCCTGAGATTGACACGCCGAAAGGCGATGACAATCTCAGGGATTCGCCTTCCAAAAAAAAAGGGAATCCCTAAGATTGGCACCGTGATGAGGAGGTGCTCAGCATCGGGATAGGGATGTGTTCCAGGCTGGTACATCCAAGGGGCGAGGACCGCAAGGGCCCCCCCTGGCCGCTCGAAGCCGCAGGCGCAGTCGCCGGGGGCGACGCTCCGCGCCCCGAAGGACACAGCGAGGAGCGCGCGATCGCAGGCGCGCCCCTGGTGTCTGTCGAGCAGGCCGTGGAGGAGCGCCTCGGGGACCCCGAGGGGCCGCGGGGCGCGCCCGCCCGCTTACAGAGCGGTAGACGTTTTCTTGGGGAACCAGCGCTACTCAGAGGACCTGGACATGTGGCCCATCGGGTGCCTGATGGCGGAGTTGTACACGCGCAAGGTGTTGTTCCAACCAGAGCCTTGCGGCGCGCTCGGGCATGGGCGTGCGCCGACTTCTGGATGGAGCATCTGATGGCGCAGGCGCTGCCGAAGCCCCTCGGGGAGCGGGCTGCCGCGCTCGTGGATTTCGCCCTCGCCCTCAGACAAGTCGCACCTGCACCAGATTGCGGGCGCGGCGCTGACGGCTACGTGCTTAGAGTTCTGCTCATTTGCGGCCGCGTCGTGAGCTGGCAGTTTGACGCTGTCTTCCCAGTCCTCGTCGATCAGAGCCGGGGCCTTTCAGTGATGCGCTTTCCATCTACACTTCTGGCGTCGCTCGGCAAATCGAGGCCTTGGCGGCATGTCGGGCGCCCTGGTTAGGAGCGGGTAGCGTTCCCCTACTTTTGCGGAGCCACTGATCTCGTTCTGCTGGGCCCCGGGCGCGGGCCGGGGTGGTCCTTGCCGGCGATTCGAGGCCATGGGCAGTCATCCGACAGCGGCAGAGGCGCTCGCATCGGATGCGCGCGCGTGCTCTCGTGGCGCGTGAGAGATCAGCGGGTTTGAGTGTCCTAGCGAGGCTTGGGGCCATTCCTTCCTGCGGGGGGGATCCCGCCTTTGTTGTGGTCTGCCCTCTGCGGTTAATTTGACCGTCTAGTTAACCGGCGGGTGCTGTTGGGGACAGTTCCAGTCTTCAGCCCCCCAATGGCAAGCCCGCAGCAGATGCGGTCTTAGGGGCAGCGCGTCGCGAATGACAGGGACTTGCGCGCGTTCGCTGGCGACCTTTAATGCGACCTTTAATGCACCATTCTAGAATAGATCAACAATTCCACGACATATGTCTGCCAGCGTGGACCCCGAGTGAAACGGACAACGCAAGAACCAACAGAAGCAGGGCACTCTTTCACGTTGCAGGTGCTGTTTGGGTATCGGTCGCTGCTCGGGGGGACCCGCGTCCGCCGCCACTTACGTTTGAGCTTCTGCGTGTATTTGCGCAGTCAGGTCTAGACTGCGGCGCGCACATCCTGCGGAGCGGGGTGCAGAGATCTCGGTTTGTTTGCGCGGATGGTGATATTCAGCAGCATGTGAAGATATGGCGTATACCGTCCTTTGTGCCGTTTTGGGGGCCTCTCCGGGGCCCTTTGTGCCATCGTCGGGCGATCTTGGGGAGCCTTCTGGGGGTTTTGCTGGCGAGGAAATCTGGAAATGCGAGAACGCTAAAGTCATTGGGAGCACAAGGGGGGATTGTATGATTGTGACGTGTTGGGTCCTTCTTGGCTGTCTTGTTAAAGCCATTTCGGGACATTTTAAAAGTTGCTGCAGCCTCTTAAGTACGCGCTTCTTCGAATGTTCTGAGGCAGTCATGGGGCTTCTTTGGGGGCACTGGAAAGGTGGGTGGCGGCGCGATGCCCCCCTCCCCCCTCCCCAGATCTCGTGGGTGGGGTTCCCACTGCAATACAATTGGCGAACGGAACACACACATGCATACATGCATACATGCATACATGCATACATGCATACATGCATGCATGCATGCATGTATACATACATACACACATACATACAAACATACATACATACATACATACATACACACATCACCATACAATTAAATTTAACTGCGTCCGTGGTTTATGATGTGTTTGCCCATGTCTCTCTTTCGACATATACGTGTGTATGCATACACATACACACATACATGTGTATATACACATAGTTATGTTTCCGTCTCTCTCTCTATGTGTTATCGCTTTCTATATGTCTCTCTCTCTCTCTCGCTTAGGACTGGATACCTATTGGCTGTCTCGGGGCCGCTTTGGAGACAACATGCTTGACATGCCTGTCCGAGTTTCCCATGTTGGTGCTGTCTTTGGTCCTCTTGGGGGCCTCGGGAGCCGTCATCGTGCGATTTTAGGGGGCCTCTTTGGCCGTGCTTGGTGGCCTTATGGTCGAACATCCGAGTAGACCTAAAAGAAATACAGAAATAAACGATTGATGTGCTTGTCCATGGTTTGGGCTTTTGAGGCCTCCACAACGACCTACTTTGCACCCAAGAGTGCGCCAGGACGGGCCCTGAGATCATCATAGGTCTTGTCATGTTGGAAACACGCACTCTCAACCGCGTTCCCCCGGCTTTTGAGAAAGTTCTGCGGCCTGCCCGAGGAGTCACGCGAGACGCCCTGCAGGCGATTTGTGAATTGTGGGCCTGGACCTGTGATCAAGTCTAGAGAGCTCGGAGGCACCGAGGATACTCCACCAGGTGCCCAGCAATGGCGCTGCCTGCCCACCCACAACGCACACACTGCGCTGGCTCAAGGCGATCCCGACGCTGAACCGTGGCTGGGGAGCGCTCTGGCCGCGGCTGCGTGAGCCAGCCATGCTCCGCGCGCCAGGAAACGCCTTGCAGCCCGCCGCGGGCCGCGGCGGCCCGGCGGGCGGCAGCGGCGGCCCCGCCGCCACGGCGGCGCTGTCGGCGGCGAGGAGGTGGGCGCCAGGTTTCCGCAGCGCGGCGGCGAACCACAGGCTCCTCGCTGCGGCGGGCTGGGCGGCGGCAAGCCTCGCCGGCGACGGCTGGGGGCGGCGCGGCCGCCGTCGGCGGCGCGGGAGGCCCTGCAGCTGCCTGCCGGCGCGGCCAGGCCAGGCGACGCCGACGGACTTCTACGGCCTGCTGGGGCTGCCTCGTTTCAGCGCCCGCGCCGCGGATGTCCACAGGGCCTACCGCCGGGTGCTGAAGCTGGTTCACCCCGACGTGCTCGGCGGGCACACTACGGCCCTGGCCAGCCTCATCACCACAGCATACCACACGCTCAGAGACGAGGCCCAGAGGCATAGCTACGACGACTCGCTGCGAAAGCTCACCATCTCGGGCTCGGCCGAAGCAGAGACCGAGGAGGAAGGTCTGGTGAGCCGGAGAAGTAGCTGGGAGTCCAGTTGCGCCCCCGAGGGTTCGAGGGGCGTCTTCGTGGACGAGTCCGAGTGCGTGATGTGCGTGCGGTGTGTGGAGTGCGCCCCGAGCACGTTCGAGATGGATTGGGAGGGCTCTGGGCGCGCTCGCGTCACGCACCAGTACGCCGATCCCACAGAGGACGTGGACTGGGCTGTCGCGTCTTGCCCAGTGGAAGCCATCAGCTACCGCCCCCGCGACGAGCTGGAGCTGCTGGAGGACATCATGGCCCACTGCGACCTCGATGGCGCAGACGGCGCCATGCAGCGGCGGCAGCTCGACTTTGAGGGCTCCAGGCAAGGAGAGGGGCCCTTCGACTACCTCCAGCAGCTCAAGAGCGGCAAGCGACTGCCCGAGCCGATGCGCGGGCGGCTGGGCAGCGACCGCAGAGAGGGCGACTCCAGCTGGCTCCCCGGGGGGACCGCGCAGCGCAGCGCCGCGGCGCCCCGGGAGCTCGGCGCGGCGATCGCGCAGGCCGCCGCCGCAGTGCCCGAGGAGGTCAGGCGCCTCGCCTGGCCGCCGCGGGAGGCGCAGGCTGTGCAGTGATGGCGCTCCAGCGGCTGACGCGACCGGGGTTCGGACAGGGGGCCACATGTCAAACGACGCGAAGATCGGGACAAAATCGGATCGGGATAACTCGAAATCTCTGAGAATCGGCGGGTTTGGAGGATGTATTGGGCGCCGCGGTCGCTCCAGAGCGTTCCGGAACGCTCTGAGAGCGCTCCGGAACGCTCTGGAGCGATTTATCCCGATCCTAGCCTTGTTTTAACATGCGAACCCTACCCCTACCCCCCACGATTTCTGAGGGGGAGGGCGGGGTTCACTTCGCAAGGGCGGGCAGGTTCGAGGGTCTGGCTTCGGAGAGTTTTTGTTTTGTTTTGTTGTTTTTCCCTCTTTCGGTCTCGGGGGGCCGTCTTCGGGCCCTGAGGCCGTGAGAAACTGATCCGGGGTGAAAAACTGCATTAGATGGACCCCAGGAGCGGTCCGCCGTGGCCCGACTTCGAGCGGTTTTGGCTTCACCCCCCCCCTCCTGACCGATTCTCTGGGGTCCCAGCCAATTCAGACTCCGGGCCGCCTCCAACGACTGGGTACCGCGCCGCGTTCGTTTAACAGTCTCGATGGCGGTACATTTGCGCCGATCATGTAGAAGGTTCGGAGATTTCCCTCTTCGCCTTGGCCTAGCGTTTCATCAGCATGGGCCTGTCGTTTGCCCAGGACTCCTGCCAGGAGTCAGGCCTAGACATCCTGCTCCAACCGCTTCTGAATCACAGCCTCAACCTCAGCAGCAGTGATGGGTCTTAGGAGTTTGCGACCTGCGTAGGCGAACAGCCCCGTGTTTTTGTTTTATTGAGGGCAGCCCAACGAGGGAGTCGGCGTCCTCACCTTCAGGGTGACACCGTGCCGTCGGGACCGCTCGGTTCCGAGGCATATCCGATCCGACACAGTGTCCGAAGTGTGTTGATTGCTATATTTTTCTCTCTTCAGTCGGGCTCATCGGTTTCAGCCCCACTGGCAAGGCGCGCGTCTTGGAGCGGACTCTTGGCCAGCTTCCAGCTCAGTTCTCTCGTTTTGAACCGTCGGGGCCTCTGGAGAGTACATCTCTGGCCATGTCGCCGTTCCTGTTCCAGCCGTTCTCCGAGAAGTGGCTCAGGGCGAGATATCTAAAGAGCCGCACCTCCTGCCCTGGAACTGTGGGTTCATCGTTCCCCTCAGATGCCACGCGACGCGCGATGCCACTCATGGCTTGAGCAACTCAACGTCCGCGCTGGGGCGGACGGGGTCCTTCGAGTGGCCAGTGCGACGTCTGCGGATGTCACAAGCTGGCGCATTTACAACACCAGAAAACGAAACAGACAAAAGCAACAACAATCAACAATGAAAGGCTTCGCCCTCTACCGCCAGCCCCCGAGTCTGATCTAGTTGCGTTTATTGGGCTGGCCTCCGGCCAGTGCCGCCGATCGGGGGGGACTCCGGAAGTGGAGTTTTCTATACCCCCCTGTCCCCGGGCACCGAAAAACATTGGAAATGGCGTCGGAAATATCCCCGTGTACCGAATAACGTCGGAAATGACGTCGGAAATAACGTGCCCCCCCCCCCTTGCAGAGCGAAGCTTGAGCGAGCTCAAGTCCACGCTCTCAGAAACTCACACGCTGGATCGGCGGATTTCGGGATAGTTCGGGGGCCTGTCATGGGGCATTCTGGGGACATCTGGATGGCCCTAGGGGCCTCGTAGAGGGTACAGACCCCCTCGAGTCACGAACAGGTCACGACAGAAGGTTGCTCGCTATGTTCGGCCCATGGAGGCCACTACCGGGCCTCGGGAACGTCAAAAAACGAACCGGGATGAAACACCAGGCCCGGGGAATGGGGGTCTGGACCTCGTGGGGGCCGCGCCGTGCAGAAACCATGACGTCGTGGGTCTGGGTAGCTTCTTGCGCCAGTGGTGGTGGCGGTGTCGCTTCTCGCTGGCCCTGCGACTCGGCGCCGACGGCGGCGGCGACGCCGACGACGGCCCTGCGCGAGGCCGGCCGGCGCTGGCCCCCCGCAGCGCCCGGCGGTGCCGCGGCCAGAGGGCGCCGTCGGTGGGGCGACGCAGCCCGCTGGGGAGGCTTCCCCGCGGTCGCCGCCGGCCGCCCGTCCTCCTCCTTGTCTCTCCCTCCTCCCTCCCTCCTGCCTCCCTCCCTCCTCCCGCCCTCTCCCTCCCTCCCTCCCTCCCTCCCTCCCTCCCTCCCTCCCTCCTCCCTCCTCTCCCTCGGCCTCCTCCCCCCCTCCGCCCCGGCTCGGGGCTCGCCCTCCTCTCCCGCCTCCCTGCCTCGCTCCGGGGCCCCCTCGCTCCGCCGGCGCCGCCGCGGAGGGGCCAGTGGCGACGGCGGCTGCGGTGCAGTCAAGATCGGCGAGGCATAATCCTCCTCCTCCTCCTCCTTCTCCTTCTCCTCCTCCTCCTCCTCCTCCTCCTCTTCCTCCTCCTCCTCCTCCTCCTCCTCCTCCTCCTCCTCCTCCTCCTCCTCCTCCTCCTCCTCCTCCTCCTCCTCCTCCTCCTCCTCCCCCAATCCCCAAACATTGCCGATAGGGGCCTTGGGTCATCTTGCGGGAAGCCCTCGCGCGCCCCCGAACAGTGCACGGGGAGTGCACGTGCGAGCGGTGGCAGGGTAAGGCGCTGGGCTGCTCGCAGACAGCCCCCCCCCCCCAGTGAGTCCTGGCTGGCCTCAACGGGCTCCCCAAGTAGCCCCAGCTGGTCTCAGAAGGCCCCCCGAGCAGCCCAGGGAGGTCTCAACACCCTGGCGCCGCCTCCTCCGGCACCCTTCGGCGCAACCCGAAGCCTTACCATTAAGTCGGGCATGTCCACCTCCTGGAGGAATATTTAGAAATAGTAAAAGGATAGTCCGGGGACGATTTGCCGACTGTTCTTTTTTCTATTATTTTTGGGTATTTGTTCAATTGTTGACTTGTCCTCCAAAATCCGCCTGTAGGAGGATATCCCCGACCTAACCGGTCAAGACGCTGAAGTGAGGAGACCAGCGCCGATCCAGGAAGTCCGACTGGGGCTTCGAAATTGCTATGTTTGGCTCTTGTCCTATGCAGTCGGCACGCCACAGGAGAAAGCGGCCCCGAGCACCAAGCGGGGCTGACGGGATTCCCGCGAAGACCCAGGTCGACCGCACGACCTGCCCACAGATGTCTTGCAGCAAGATGCCTCAAAGCTTTGCTGTAGGACGGCGACGCCGGTTTTTTTGTGTAGGAGGAGTTCCTGGAGGTTCTCGCCGCCATGGCTGGGAACGAGCTGCTAGGATGGAGCCTGGGACGGAGTCAGGGGGGCTGGTTTCGAGCGGGTCTTGGCCAGGGATAGCAAGGATCGAGGCTCTCGGCTACTATCTGTTGCTAACGATGCCTGGAGGTGACGCAGACGCGTCCTCCCCGCCGTCGCTGTCGTCGCCGCCGACGCCGTCCTTCTCGTCTTCGTCTTCGCTCATGGAGGGAGGACGCCAGGAGGGAGGGAGAAGGGCACATGAAACAGAGGAGGGATGCGGGTTGTGATGATTATATATGTATATATTGGGCTCGTGGCGTTGTCCGCCTCGAGACCTTGGCGAAACACCGCTGAAGGACAGTGGCCCTGCGCCGACCCTTGAGGGCAGAGAGGGGGGTGAACAGGGAGCAGAAGCAGAGGTGATGCGAGGAGCAGGAGGAGGAGGAGGAGGAGGAGGAGGAGGAGGAGGAGGAGAATGAGGAGGACGAGGGGGAAGGAGGAGGAGGAGAGGAGGAGGAGGAGGAGGAGAGGAGGAGGAGGCGGATCAGCGAGGAGGTGAGGAAGGGAGGGGAAGGGAGGAGGAAAGAGCGTCGCGGGACGGGGAGAGGGAGGGGAAGGGAGGAGGTGAAGAAGGGAGGGGAAGGGAGGAGGTGAGGAGGGGAGGGGAAGGGAGAGAGAGGGGGGGACGAGGGAGAAGACCTTTAGCTGGGCTCTGATGCTCTGTTTGTGGTCAGCCCGGCCCCAGACGCCACGAGACAACCGACCGAGGGTCGCAAGAGGTTGCAAAGAGAGTCCCAATAAGCGCCCAAGACTCCCGAAGGTCTTTCCAAAACGGCCCCAAGGCGGAGCAGTTCCAGCCACAGCCACAGAGACTCCCATTAGGACTGCGAGTGATAGGACACCCCCACACAAAGTGACCCAGAAACCCAAGGGCCTGCACCAAAAAGATCCAAGATCTCTTCATCCGCAGAAGAGAGGGCCCCCGAATTGCATCGCAACGCGCAGACATCGTCTGATGTCGCTGTCGCGCCTCTTTCCTCTCTCTCTCTCTATATGTATATATATATATATATATATATATATATATACATACATATATCTGTAGATTCATTACATAATGCACTAAGTGCCCCCTCTGTCCTCCCTGGGAACCTCCCCGGGGGCCTCCCCGGAGCTTCATGGAGCTTCCCCGAGGTTTCCCCGGTCCCCCCAGGGCTTCTGGGTAGGTCCCAAATTGATCCCATCCGGGCCAGTGTGGCTTCCGAATGGCCTCAGATGGCGTCGAGACAGCCCAAGAGCCCAAGACGCCCCAAGACAACTTCAAGTGGACCCACAAGAGGGCACGAGGAGGCAACAATCGCCCCTCTCATCGGAAAACTAGCAGCACCATTACGCACTCGCTATTCTGACTTTGCCAGCGTCCAAGACAGCCCCAGAGGGCTCCAGGACGGTCCTAGAGGAGCCCAGGGCCGCCCAAGACGGCCCCAAGAGGGCCCCTCGAGAGGCCCTGAACCCAGAGTTCGAGGCCTCCGCCCCAAGAGGACCCCGAAGACGCCCGGCAGGGGCCTCCAAGGACCCCCCCAAGAGAGGACTCTCAAGAGGGCCAAGAGCGGCCCCAGAGAGGCAGTCGGGGGTGGACAGAACCCCCAACAGTGACACGTCGATTAGTGAATTGTCCGTTTTCGGTTCTCGAGAGGGCGCCGTGGGCGTTATTTTCCAGGCTTTCGCCCGCCAGGTTTGGGCCTCAGGTCGTTTTCACTAAACCACGTTTTACTACGGTGAGGTCTGTCCATCCCCGAGGCAGGCCCCGGAAGGCGTCCCAGGAGGCTTCCGAATCGCCTGCCGGAGGTTGCCCAGAGGTTTCCCCAGGGACCCGAGCAGGCATTCAAGAGGTCTCAGGCGGCCTCCATAGAGACCACAAGATACATCTCTCGCCCTTCAAATCGAAGACACGGGTGTGCGAACCTTCTCCCCCTTCGCTCCTCATCGTCCTCTTTCTCCTCCTCCCCCTCCTGCTTCTCCTCGTCCTCCCCTTCTCCCATCTCTGCGCCTCCCACCCCTCAACACCCTCCTCTCTCTCTCTCTCTCTCTCTCTCTCCCTCTGCGCACGCTCTCTCCCCTCACGTGCCCCCCTCCCTTCCTGCCCCTCCTGCCTCCGTACCCTCCCCCGCCCAGCACCGCTCCACACTCCCGCTCTCCCTCCCTCTCGGGCCTCCCGTCCTCTGCCTCGTGCGCTCGCCCGCACGCCCCGACCGTCCTTCTCCCGGCTTCGGCGACGCCCCCCACCCCCCCCTGCATCTCTCCTCCGCCCTGCCCCTGCCTGGCCCCTCTCCTCTCCACTCCTCGTCCTCCATCGAACCTCCTCCTCCTCCTCCTCCTCCTCCTCCTCCTCCTCCTCCTCCTCCTCCTCCTCCTCCGTCTCTCTCTGCCGTCCGCCTCCTCCCTCCTCCGCCCCTTCTTCCTTGCTTCCGCCGCAGGTTGCTTCCGCCTTGCCCCGCCTCCCATCCACCCTTCTCTTGCCTCCCGGCACCACCACCTTCCGTTCACGGACTGGGAGCCGAAGCCCCCGGGGGCCAGGGGCCACAGACTGCCCACCGTGGGCACGCAGAGCCGCCCAGAGCCTGCCCGGGGCGTCCCCGGGGCCTCCTCGGAGCAGCCCCCGAAGCCCCGGGGCCCACGGCAGAAGTTCCAGACGTCCCAGATGGCTCCCAGACTGCTCCAGGACGCACCAGGTTGGCCTCACGACGGCCCAAGATCAGGAGGGGAAAAACACACACAGACACAATTAATCGTCGATTCCCCAGAAAATATAGGAAAATATGGGAAGTGGGGGAAGACAGAAACTCAGAAAATATGGGAAAGTATGGGGAATCTGTTTATTTGTGTGTATTTATTTGTGTGTCCTGGGCCCCCTTGACAAGAGGCCCCCAAGACTCCCCAAGACGGCTCAACGAGAACCCCTCTCGGGGGCCCCGAGCGGCAGGAGTCGCGCCCTTCCCTCAGGAAGACGCCAGAAGCTGGGCAGATTCGTTCTTGATGTCCCATGAGCGTCCCAGGCGGCACCCAGAGGCCCCCAAGAAGGACCCAAGGCTG